ATATATATATTAAAATCATAATACTGTTGAGAAAGAAACGAAATTGCAATGCATTTTAAGACGTAAGTTGAATATGAACATGTAGAAAAGGCGTATAAATATTGACATTTATTTCTCTAACTTTTCGCAAAGACTTTACGTGGTTTGTTATAGTATTTACGAGAATACGCTATTCGGAACATCTTGCAAGAGAATCGGAAATGCCTGTCGAAAGAACAACGTCATGAAGTGGCAGCCTCGGCAACGAGGCCGGGGAAAAATACGAGGAAAAGCGCTCCAGTAAGGAGAAACGAAATTAGAAGGACGCGGAGCACTTTGAGAAGTTCCTCGCTTAATCCGGATCTAACTTCCGGTATTCGGTACTCACGGCAAATTCCAATTTTCGTCGGACACTTTGCCGATGAAGTTTCGCGAGACGACGGCATGGATAGAAAGAAAACTCGCGCGCAAGAGATTTCGATTTTTCTCCCTTGAGTTTCCCCTCGGTTTTAATCCCACCACGTAAAAAGGAGAAAATAAAGAGATGAAGGAAGAAAAAAGAAAAGAAACAGCGAAACGGCGAAACTACGACGGGTCGGAAGAATGGAGGGCGACGCTGTCGGGGGCACGGATTCTTTCGCTGGGTGCGCCAACTCCGACAGAGGCGTCCGGAAATTGCGTCATGGTAGCGGCCAATGTTCCTCATGATTTCTGCATATTAGAGCGCGTCCATCCTTCCTCCCCGATACCGTCTCGTCATCCATGAACGGACATCGCCGATTCAGAAAGCCGACCGTGCGTTCCTTCCTGGTTCACCGAATCGACCGAATTCGCCGAATTTAAAATCGGAGCCGATGCAGAAAGCTGTCCCTGAAAGCTGCTTGCGCAGTAACAATGCGATAATACGCGCGAAGGACCTGTATCGAATTTTAAGGTGGTTTATTCTTAGCGAGAATTCACGATTCTCCTCACAATTTTTTTTTCTTCGCAGTTGGGTCTTGAGTGAAAATTTCGTTAATATAAAATTCGCTCGAAATAACATAATCGAATATGGCGGTTCAGCCGGAATGAAATGAATAAAGTATTATCGTGCATCGCGTGCTTGCATTTAACGTATCGCAAATGAATGAATGACAGAATATGAATTCGTTTCGCGAGAAAATGTCGGTTGCTGGATGCAACAAACATTTCATTATTTATTATTTGTTTATTATTTTTTTATTATTTTTTTAGATTTAAACATTTTAATTTAAGGAAAGAAGTTGCTGGCGTCGAATATTAAA